AAAAGAGAAGATACCATCACCAGGTCCAACGCCCCCTCCAACAGAGCTTCCCACGGAGCCACCCACTGAAAATCCAACTCCACCACCAACAAGACCACCATCACGGGGTCCGACACCACCTCCAACAGAGCTTCCTACAGAGCCGCCAACTGAGCATCCAACACCCCCTCCAACAGAGCCACCAACAGAGCTCCCAACTGAGCCACCAACTGAGCCACCAACGAGCACAACACGACACCATCCCAGGTCCAACACCCCTCCAACAGAGCCCCGACTGAACCACCAACGAAAATCCAACACCACCACCCACACCACCACCCTCACCTGGTCCAACACCCCCTCCAACAGAGCCACCAACTCTTCCTCCTACCCAGACTCTCCCGCCAACACCTCCACCAACCCCCCTCCGACAGAGCCACCAACTGGACAGCCCACTGAACCACCAACGCTTCCTCCAACATTCACCACCCCACCGACACCGCCACCCACAGAACCACCCACCCGTTTTCCAACACCACCACCAACGCCTCCGCCAACTGAGCTCCCCACAGAGCCCCCAACTGAACCCCCAACTGAAAATCCAACTCCACCGCCCACACGACCACCATCCCCGGGTCCGACACCACCTCCAACGGAGCCCCCAACTGAACCCTCGACTGAGCATCCAACTCCACCACCCACTGAACCACCATCCCCAGGTCCAACTCCCCCTCCGACAGAGCTCCCTACGGAGCCACCAACTGAAAATCCAACTCCACCACCCACTCCACCCCCTCCCCAGTCCCACACCTCCGCCAACAGAGCCGCCAACGCTGCCTCCAACTCAAACTGGGCCCCCTACGCCTCCTCCAACAGAACCGCCCACCCGTTTTCCAACACCACCACCAACTCCTCCACCAACACCACCTCCAACTGAGCTCCAACAGAGCCACCCACAGAACCACCTACAAAGCTCCCTACAAAGACCCAACTGAGCCTCCAACTGACCGCCAACGCGACCACCCTCGCCGGTCCAACACCCCTCCAACAGAGCTCCCCACAGAGCCCCCCACAGAGCCCCCAACAGAGCTCCCTACAGAGCCACCAACCAAGCCACCAACAAGACCACCATCCCCAGGTCCTACACCTCCACCCACTGAGCCCCCTACTGAGCCACCAACGCAGCCTCCTACGGAACCGCCAACACTCCCTCCAACAATTACTCCACTACCAACACCTCCTCCCACAGAGCCGCCAACTGACAGCCCACTGAACCACCAACACTCCTCCGACATTTACTCCACTACCAACACCGCCTCCCACAGACCACCAACTGGACAGCCCACTGAACCACCAACGCTTCCTCCGACATTTACTCCACTACCAACACCTCCACCCACACCTCCACCTACAGATCCACCAACACGTTTGCCAACCCCTCCTCCAACGGAACCACCAACCCGTTTTCAACACCACCACCAACACCTCCACCAACCCCGCCTCCAACAGATCCACCATCACGTCTACCTACCCTCCACCCACAGAGCCACCAACAGAACTGCCTACACCACCTCCCACAGAACCTCCGACGGAGCCCCCGACAGAGCCGCCCACAGAGTCTCCAACCGAGCCTCCTCCAACAGAACCCCCAACGGAACCTCCGACAGAACCCCCAACGGAACCCCCACCGACAGATCCTCCAACGAGCCTCCAACGGAACTTCCAACGGAACCTCCAACGGAACCTCCAACCCCGCCACCAACACCTTGGACTGCACCACCAACCACCACCAACTCAACCACCAACCCCTGGACTCCACCACCAACTAACCCGCCAACACCTCCAACTGCACCACCAACTGAACCTCCCACAGAGCAACCAACACTTCAACTTTACCACCAACAGAACCTCCCACAGAGCAACCAACACCTTCAACTCCACCAACACCTCCAACTCCACCACCAACTAACCCACCAACTCCACCACCAACACCTGCAACTCCACCACCAACACTGGCTACTCAACCGCCAACAGAGCCACCAACAGAGATCCCTACAGAGCCACCTACAGAGCCACCAACGGAGCCACCAACCGAACCACCCACAGAACCTCCGACGGAGAAACCAACAGAGCCCCCTACAACCCCATCACCAACCCCGCAAACACCGGCTCCCACACCGAACCCAACATCAGCCCCTACTGATTGCGAATGTGATACACCAGAGCCGTGCCCTTGTCCTGAGCCAGAACCGGCACCAGCACCATGCCCATGTTCTGTACCAGAGCCATGTCCTTGCCAAGAGCCTTGCCAGGAACCATATCCGTGCAACAATCCATGCCCTTGTGAGCAACCATGCCCCTGTGCTGCACCAGCACCAGCGCCATGTCCCTGTCAACAGTCATGCCAAGAACCCTTCCCATGCAATAACCCATGCCCTTGCCAGGCAGAACCCTGTCAAGCAGGGCAGCCTTGCGCAGAACAAACACCAGTTCTTACCGAAGCTCCAGTGCCTGCACCCACACCTGAACCCACACCTGCACCCACACCTGAGCCAACAAAAGTACCAAAGCAACCAGTTGCCGTGCCAACCAAACAATTGCAGGACAAATCCCAGGAAGAAGCCAACCCATTTTCATCTGATCTTACCCCCTCTTCGCCTACTTGTCTGGAGAAGACAGCAAAGTCGAGCCTACAATGCATGGAACTCATGTCAGCTGACCAGCTCAACACTTCTGGATCTGTATGCATTCAGGTTGTCGGAAACTCACCAGAGCTAGAGATCACATACAAGTCATCTGGCAACTTGTCACTTACACAAGCAGACTTTTGGTTTGGCAATGACATAGCCGCAATGCCTGCCAAAAAGGGCGGCTACCCATCATTGGAGAAATTTCCATACTTTTGGTGTAACTCATCAGGGCAAGAGGTTTGGAGGACGAGATTCCCATTCAATGCTACAGAGCACTGCCAAGGGCATGACACATTCAACATGCCAGCAGTGGCACATGCCCGAGTGGAACAACGCGGAGAAGATGGAGCAGTGTCAAAGAGCACTAAGCAAAGCGTTTTTGCATTCAATACAAGCAGCGAAGAGAGCAAGAAATGGTTCAGCTGGTTTGAGCTTCCCATTGAGTGTGGGTGTAACAAGTTTGGTACCACAGACACCGCCAAGGGGGCTGTGGAAAAGAAGTCAGTCCTGGCCATTGGATCTGGTTGCCCTGGCCAAGCCATGGAAACTAGTCATCAGTGCCACCAACTGTCAACAAAGCAGCAAGAAGAGGTTGGTTCGGTTTGCATTGAAATTGCAGGCTCCCCACCAATTTTGGAAGTGACATACAAGGCATCCAACAACTATGCTTTCACAAGAACTGACTTCTGGTTTGACTCCAGCATTACGACGCTGCCTTTGAAAAGTGATGGTGCTCCTGATGTGGACGACTTTGGCTTCTTTTGGCGCAATTCATCTGGTGAAAGCGTATGGTCGACCAGAGTTCCTATGTATTACTACTTTGGCTGCTCTACGACTGAGGACGTCCACATGTCAATGGTTGCACATGCTGGTGTTGCCCGCCGCTTTGACAACGGAACGTTGGATTTTGGATCGGGTGACACAGCTTTTGCATATGGTCTGGAAGGGCAGGACACCACAATGATAGATGCTGCATTCGACTTCACATTGCAGTGTCAATGTGCTCGAGAAAAATCTGCGGAAGAGCTTTCAGCGCCGCTTTCATCTCTACAATTGCCTGCATCTATGGGTGGGCTGAACGTTGGCTCGACCACATGCCCAAACAGGATAGCATGGGCAGATAAACAATGCTTTAATGTGACAGGAACTGACGAGACCTCAACAGGCAAGGTTTGTGCTCAAGTTGTTGGGAACCCTCCTACCATTATGGTCACAAGAGACGTGTCTGGCGACTGGGTTCTCCTCAAGAGCAAGTTCTGGTATGGAACGAGTGCCGCAGATGTTCCGAAGAGGAAGAGTGGAAGGCCAGACATCGAGAAGTTTCCATACTTCTGGGGAAATTCCTCGGGAGAAGAATTCTGGACCGGTTCGGCAATTCTGGAAAACTCCTTCGATTGCCGTGACGCAAGTGAGTATGCTATTGACTTGGTTGCTCATTCGACCTACATGAAGAAATTTGAAAATGGCACCTTGATTCATGGGTCCAAAGAGGCATCCTTTGCCTACGACCACAGCAGTGACTCGCACCACAATGACGACTTTGGATGGATTCCACTCAAGATTGGCTGCAAGTGCACAACTCAAACCCCCAAGCTTGCTTCAACAGTACTTCCATGGATGTATTCTGCGCCGTCTCGGTCCAAGGAACCCTACTCTGCTACCAAACCACAGCCATACTGTATTGACGGCGATAACGGGTCCGGCCGTGAATGCCACAACATGATGGTTGGCGACTCTGCAACGGCTGGTTCCTTGTGTGTCGAGGCTGTTGATGATTCAGAGTATTTTGAATTCACATTCCAAAGCACTGACGAATGGACTTTACTCACGACCGAGTTATGGCTCGGGGACAGCATCGAGGATGTTCCAACTTCGGAGACGGAAGATGTCAACAACAACCAATTCCCTTACTTCTTCCGCAATTCGACGGGTCAACATACCTGGAAGACAAAGATAGCCTTGAACGTTTCCTTTGACTGTTCGATGATTGACGAATTCAAAATGGCAATTGTGGCTTCGTCTACATTTGGAAAAGTTGCCCAAGATGGTTCCCTCATCGATGATACGGAAGTCGTGGCCTTTGTCGAAGATCGTCCTGACAGTCACATGTTCGGATGGTTTGGCTTGGGCCTACGCTGCAACTGTGGCGGAACGCTGGAGTCTTTGGTGAGTTCTGCCAAGGCGATGCTTGCTGGAGATGACGGAGACAAGTCCTGCGTATCAACATCTATTTTCATCGACGAGGACTTTGAAGACGAAGGTTCCGAGGACGCATGGGACAACGGAGTCATTACCAAAGGTTCCGACTTTACGTACTTTTTGGGTCGCCTTGGTGGCGACTACGTGCCTGAGGTCTCTCGTTCATTCTCTGTTCCCACATCGAAAGATGGTCAAACCAAAGCAGACAGCATTTCTCTGGAATTTGTCTTGTACATTATTGACGAGTGGAAGGAGAGCGATGCCGTTCGATTGACCATAGGATCTGACGAGGTCAACCTTGGGCCGTTCGCTAACTACGCCAACACGGAGCTGGCCGGTTCCGTAGCTGGTATCTCATGGCGCCGCACGGTGATATCTCATGGCCAGAACCTTGGGTTCGGAGAAGCCATGGATGAGAAGCATCTTGTCCAAATCGCTGTGCCTGCTGACCACTTTGATGATGACTATTCCTTGTTCTTTGGCGTCAAGGTAGCCCTGGGCGAAGACGCTGAAAACAGCGCTGGCATTGATGACCTCATGATCGAGGCACACTACGCGTGTCCCACGGACGACGAGCATCGCGATCTTAAGGCTGACCTTGACCGGCAAGATCAGAAGGATGTTGCCTCTAGCGTTGTGAATGCTACAGTCTCTGACAGCACCAATCTCGGCACCCTGACTCCACCAATCTCCGACACGGTTGCCATTCCCGATATTGCCACTCTGAGCAACACGAGTGCAGGCAACATGGCTGTACCCAGCCCTGCTCCGAGCTCGCAAAGAAACAGTGAAAAGAATGAAGGCGAAAGCCTGTATTGCTTGGCTGAGGATTTCCCCTGCGGTTCGAATGCCGACGACGTGTACGTCTGCCATTATTCTCGAATGCGAGGGCATCAGACACTTTGCATCCCAGAGGAGGAATCCCACATTCTACGTTATTACCCTCAAGATTACTGCGGGCCTTGTGTTGGCAGCTTTGCGGAAAGTCCGCGCAATATTGCAACCAGACCGCCTCTTGTCGCCTCTGATGAAAACATGGTTGATGTCGAAGAAGGTCGTTCGAACTTCCAACCACGACACTCGGCGGACAACTTCAATGCTGAAGAAGAAGACTCATCCAAGAAAACAGAGACCCCGAACGATGGCGGCATGAACATCTTCACCAAAATGCTGATTGCTGCAGGCTTTATTGCCTGTGTCATGTACCTGAATGTTCAGGTCTTTGCTCCTCGGCGGTCATCCTCCATGCACACTTTACGACGACGACACCTGCACGTGGACGGCGGAGTGATGCGAAGTGAATCTTCATCCACGGATCTCGATGCCTTCCGAATATAAATGTAAAATAGATCTAACAAAGTACTAGGAGTCGCTTTATTTGAAAAGATGCCCTGTCGCTCTTCCGTAACGAGCGCACACGAACTCGAGCGCAAGGAACCACCGAACTCGTGAGCTAATGTATGTATACTCTATGGTGTCATTAACAGGCTAGCTAGCTAGATAGGTAAGATTATGATGTCTCGTTCTGGATTTCCTCATCCGCCCCTACGATCTCCCCTTCGCCAGCAGCATTGGTAATGTCATGGTTGGCGGCGGCGGCCTGATTATTTGCAGTCGCTCTTGGATTCTTGCCTTGATACGTCAAACCCATGGCGGTGGATATCCCCACGAGCGACAGCAACAGAATATTGACGGGTGCGGCAAAGCCCACGGCAGCGCCATTATGTTGTTGCCGTTGTATCATGGGTTCCAACATGTCCACCAGAACAATGCCCAGATACTGTCCTACCAGCTGCAGTCCCGCCGAACTCAACTCTTCCGGCATTGGATACGAGTGTGCGGCTGCGGCATCAATGCAAATGGGCAAGAGTGGCATCTGTGCCATGCCCATGGCGGTAAATGCCGCGGCCAATAGCCAGACAGGACAGTTGGGTTGCAGGCATGCCACCGTGGCGACGGCGGTCAGAAACGAAACGACAGACGTCACGCGAACGGCTTGATTGTAGTTTTGCGTGTAATCCAACCAGGGAGCTGCAATCATCATCCCAATGAGTCCTCCAACAATGGAACAGGATCCACAGAGACCCGCCGTCTTGTCTCCCGGAAATCCCGCCGAAGCAATCCATGGTTGTGTGATGGTCATGGTAGCATTGCCGACGCCATAGATAATGCCAAAGGCAGCAGTGAGCACAATGTATTGTCGATCCGTCAGTAGTTTCCAAATATCTTGTGTCATGGACGACGACGATGACGTGGTTGTGGATGGTTGTTGTTGCCGCCGTCGTGCGGCTTCGGCCGGTGTGGGTGGAATGGCAGGCATTTCGTCAAACCAGTACCAAGTGGCAATGGTACAAGCGACCATGGCCACTGCTTGTCCCAGTAACAGTTGGTCCAGATGCGCGCCTGTGGATTCTTCCACCAATAGGGGTGACATGGCCTGCCCCATGACCATGCCAATACTGGCGGCAATGGATACCACGGCAATGGGCTGTGTGGTTTGTTCAAACCAGGAAGAAGCTACCCTGGCGGGAGCATTGGCAAAGACAGGTTGTCCGGCGGCGACAATGCCTTGCCCCGTCAATAACAGCACGTAGGCAAAACAGTTATTACTTCCATCAGTCATAATCCAGCAACAACTCCACCATCGCAGCAAACTTCCCACGGCCATGAGGATGGAATTCCCGACGACCGTGTGTCTCAGTCCCACCGTTCGAATGGTGTAGGCACACAGTGCCGTGGCGGGTCCGTATAGCAACATGAATATCAAGGACAGCCAATTGACTTGTTGTGCCGTGATGTTGAACTTGACTTGAACGGCGTCTTGAATGGGAGCAAAGGTGATCCAAAACGTCGATGGCAGGAGATTGTTCAGACTAAAGACACACAGCACGACAAATCGTTTGGGATCCAATTCACAATAGTGATCCTCTACCAAAATGTACTCCTGATCATGATGCAATTCTTCTTCGTCATTGTCGTCGCTGTGGTTGGATTGCGTGGATGCCGTCTCTTCTGTCTTGAGCAGAGGTTCTGTCAACACTCTCATTGTGCCGTCCTCTATAGAAATGTTGGATTCCGCCATTCTTGACTTTGTGCTTGATTCTCTCGTCGATCAGCAGTACTGTAGTCTCTATCAACACTGTACTGTAAGACGAGGATGGATGTGAGATGAATTGGTCGTCTGGTCTGGTCTTGCCTCATCAACGCTAATATATAAATGACAGATTGCTGTTCTTTCTTGTTTCTTGTGTGCCATGGTCGAAGCTTCGAACTTTCGCATGTTCTGATTGGGACGTCATTCGGAACGAATAATCGGCCGAATCGATTGATATTCGAAAGAAGTCGACGGTAGTTTCATATGACCCGCCCGGCTCGCCAAAAGATTGGCAGAGAAGAGGAGCACGATGGTCGATCAATCATGGAAGAGCACCAGATAAAGCACAGTTGATCGTTGTTGCCAAAGAGACAAGCACAGTTGCTCCAATCCTAATCATCCTCCATCAACCTTCCAAGGAGCATTGGCTTGTTTGAACGGTAAGCCTTGACCATGGCCGATCCATCAGCAGTGGCCGCGGAGGCTTTCGTTCCCATGGAGGCACCCACGGTAGCGGCAGTCGAGATCCGCCACGAGGAACCTCCGGACGACACCCACCCTCCGCCGCCGATGCAACAACCTCCCATGGAAGAACAAGGTCCGACAATAATGGATGCCAACAATACGCCGATGGAGTTGGTGCCAGTAGCAATAATGAACCAAGAGCCGGCAGTAGAACAGCACCAGCACCACCAAGAGCAAACTATCCACGAAGTGGCAGCCCCGCAGGATCCAGTAGACACCGTTGTGGAACATCCCAAGGAAGAGCCGACGGCCATAGAAATGGTTCCTCATCATCAGACTACACATCCCGAGCCTGAGCATCAGGAGACTGTTCCTGTAGAAGAAGCAGCAGCACCAACCCTCGAAACGAAAATGGAAGCGGATATGCCGGTTGACAACAGTACCGTCCACTATCATCCGGGTGCACCAGTGGCAAACCCCACCATCGAACCACCCGTCGAGACACCCCAGATGATGCCAACTCCAATTCAGGCTGAGGCGGAGAAGAAGGAGACCGCCCCTGAAACTACTACTGAAGCGACACACGTCGAAACGAAAATGGAAGAGAATGATCCGATGAACAACGACGCTGGTGGTAATCATCATCACCACCATCATCACCCAGCTGCACCATCCGTGAATCCGGAAAGTGCCCACCCCACTACGGACGAAAGCAAAGAACCAACCACCGAGCCCATCAACAACAGCAATGAACCCATAAAGCATGAACCCATCAACAACAACAACAATGAACCCAACAACAGCAATCGCTACTTGGAAGCCCTGGCGGAAATGAAACCCACACCTGCGGATCTCAAGTATGATTCCACCAATTCCTCCACAGAACAACAACAGCCGATGCCTCCTTTGGGATCCGCCGCCGCCATGCCATCGACCGTGGCAGTATTAGGCGATGGTAGTACTATCAATCTGGAACGCCCCGTCCACAAGAAAAAGTGTGAGGTGCTCAAGAGACGACAGGATGTCACCACGGTAGTGACGCGGACGGGGAAAACTTGGAATGAAATGTTTGACATTCTAGTTCAGGTAAGTATATTGTGTATACAATGTATCATCTATCATGACACTTATTAATTCAAGCATCAAACACCCAACTAACACATTGCTTTTATACATGCATCGCGAAGTACAAAAAGAACTTTGGGGATACGCACGTGCCCGACAGATTCAAGTGGGAGGGTGTCTGCTTGGGATTGTGGGTTAGAAATCAACGGCGACGGGAAACATCTCTGACGCCAGAGCAACATCGGCGTTTGACCGAGTTGGGTCTCGACTGGCAAACACAGAATGAACGCTTTGATAATGTGTGGCACGAACGATACGCTAAACTCACAGAGTACCGATTGGAGCACGGGTAGGTTGGATTGATTGACTGACCAATCATTATTGCAAGCTTTTTGTACTGACTCTTTGTTCATTTATCCGTTCTTTGATGCGTGCGCAGGGATTGCAAAGTCCCGTACACTTGTAAGCTCTAAAAGGTCCCGCTTGCCTATGGGATTGCATCGTTTCCCTCACAACTCTCTGTTTGCTCTGTGTCTCAACTTGGTGGTCAACAACACAGACAAGAAGGATCCTGGTAAGCTAAAGATTGTTGCATTCTCTTCTTGAGCGAAAGAAAAGATGCTCACCTATCTGTTTGTTTGAAACTGCCTACAAAGCACTGGCCAAATGGGTTAGCCAGCAGCGTGCGCAGCAGGCACAAGGGAGGTTGGCTCCGGAACGAAAGGCCAAGCTTGATGCAATTGATTTCTCCTGGAAGCTAAATACGGTCAAGAACCGCAACACAAAGACCGAAGACATGAAGTGGCAACGACAGTACGAGAAGTTGATTGCATTCCACCAGGAGCATCAACACTGCAAGGTCCCTGACCGATACAAGCCTGATCGGCCATTAGGAACATGGGTGAAGAAGCAACGCCTGGCCAATGCGTGCAACCAGCTCAAGGAAGAGCGGAAGAAACTGCTTGACGAATTGGGCTTTGTCTGGAGAATCACGGATAAGACGGATGGAGACAAGTGGGACAAGATGTAAGTGTCATTGTCATCTGTCATTTTCTCTCCTTCCCTGAACCACAGTAACGTCTGAGCTCAACGATCTTGCATGCTTTCCCAGGTTTCAGCAACTCAAGAAGTACAAAGAAGAGAATGGGACTTGCCATGTGTCGCGTACTGTCCCTGATGGTGATTTGAAGCCTTTGGCTAGATGGGTGAAGACTCAGCGGGCTCTTTACAAATCGGGAAAGATCTTGTCAGATCGACAGGAGAGACTTGAAAGCATTGCGTTCGTGTGGGACGGGACTCAGTTGCCCATCAAGCGCAAGCGAAGGCGCCAATCGGAAGAAGGAGAAGCAATAATTGAACATCATGGTGAACCTCTGGCAAAACGAACTAGGGGAGATGATGTCATTATGGAAGACCAGGAAGGTGGCAAGGAAGAGGAGATGACAGCAAAGGTCATACAGCAGGAGTCGCCGACAAAAGCCGAAGGTGTCTCACCAGGACCAGTCATTGTTGATGCAGAAAACATGGATGATTCGGATTTGAAGCCTGCAGCCAAGGAGAGTGCAGCGGAAGTTGTCGGCGAGGCTGAACAGGGTACCAACGACGTCGCAGTTGTGGTTGCTGCTGAAACAGAGGATAAAGCACTTGTTTCTACAAATGATACTCAGCCAGTTGAACAATCTGCGGAAGTGCCAGCTGAACAAGCCACCAAAGGGCCATCTCAAGTTGAAAACAGCGCACCCATCACAGCAGCGGCAACTCAACCTGAAGCAAACCACAAGACTGAAAACAGCCAACCTGAAGCAACTGCGACAGCTCAACCTGAAGCACCTATGACAGCTCAACCCGAAGCACACCAAGAGGCTGAAAGCAGCCAACCTGAAGCAACTGCGACAACCCAGCCCGACGCATACGGCGAGTCTGAAAACAGCGCACCCAACACAGCAGCGACAACCCAGCCAGAAGCATACGACAATGCTGAAAACATCGCACCCGCACAGCAACTGCAGCTCAGCCCGAAGCATACGACAATGCTGAAAATAGCGCACCCGTCACAGCAGCGGCAGCTCAGCCCGAAGGATACAACAATGCTGAAAACAGCGCACCCGTCACAGCAGGGGCAGCTCAGCCCGAGGGATATGATAATGCTGGAAACGGTGCCACAGTCGCAACCTTTGCTGCACATCCTGGGGCAAACGAGCAGGCCGAGGAGAGAATCATTTCAACACCGGCTGTGCCGGTAGTCGAAGGAACTCACATGGGCTTTAGTGGTCAAGAGGCACTCCCAGTGGAAAACGGAGACCTGGAACCTCCTCCGACATATATTGCGCAGCCAGCTGCACCGTCGCCTTTGCGACGCACGAGTAAGCGAGAGCTGCCAAGCTCCTCCTCGTACCAAGCTCAGGCTGCCAGTGCTGATCAGCCCCAAGAAGATCGTCACGAGGAAGATAGTAACAAGAAACCTCGCACAATCCTGGACTATCAAGTGGAGCTGGTGTGATTGTTGTTGGATTAAAGAATCGATTCAGGAAGAGGAGTAATACTACAAGATAGAACTTAGCCTAGCCTACTTCCATCTGGATCCCACTCGACGAAGAGACGGGATCGAAGCGATTGCACTTCCTGGTTCCTTCGTGTTATGTAGCAAATCGTCTCCTTGCAGGCGGCTCCGCAAGAACAGCTAGCCAGGGGCCGCCGCCAAGGGTGCGTTCGAGCACACGGCAGCACACAACCGTTGTGGAACCCGATCGAAGCCATGCAGTCGCATACCGGTAGCACAGACAGCCCACTGTGGCAATACCTAAACACGTTCTAGTCTCTCAGCCTTCCTCCTATTATTTTCTATCGTCCAACCCTCAACAATCCTGTGGTAGCTACTGTGCATGGGCGATTCGTCGGCCGTTCATGCATTCGTCATGAGCATCCTTGGGGTCTTTGCCTCCATAGACCACTCCCATAAGTCCAGGAAAGAATTGGTCAATCGTCTTGACACAGAGGGCCACTGTATGCCCTACCATTTCCGTAGAGAGCTCGGATCCCACCAAGTGTTTGGAGACTCAGCGGGCTCTTTACAAATCGGGAAAGATCTTGGAAGATCGCAAGGCACAGCTCGAAAGCATTCAGTTTGTGTGGGACGGGACTCAGTTCCCCATCAAGCGCAAGAGAAGGCGCCAATGAGAGAAGAAGGGGAAGCAATAATCGAACATCATGGTGAACCTCTGGCAAACGAACTATAGGAGATGATGTCATTATGGAAGACCAGGAAGGTGACAAGGAAGAGGAGATGACAGCAAAGGTCATACAGCAGGATTCACCGACAAAGCCGAAGGTGTCTCACCAGGGTACCAACGTCGCAGTTGTGGTTGCTGCTGAAACAGGGGATAAACCACTTGTTTCTACAAATAATGATACTCAGCCATCTGAACAATCCGCCGAAGTACCAGCTGAACAAATCACCGAAGGGCCATCTCAAGTTGAAAACAGTGCACCCGCTACAGCAGCGGCAGCTCAGCCTGAAGAAAAACACAAGACTGAAAGCAGCCAACCTGAAGCAACTGCGACAGCTCAACCTGAAGCAAACCAGGCTGAAAACAGCACGCCCAGCAGATCGTCTCCTTGCAGGCGGGGCCACAACAAGGCTTACGAACAGAGGATCCAGATCTGTGGCAATACCTAAACAGGTTCTAGTATCTTAGTCTTCCTCCTATTTACTATCGTCCAACCCTCAACAATCCATCCTACGGTAGCTACTGAGCATGGGCGATTCGTCCTCCGTTCATGCATTCGTCATGAGCATCCTTGGGGTCCTTGCCTCCATAGACCACACCCATAAGTCCAGGAAAGAATTGGTCAATCATCTTGACACAGAGAGCGACTGTATGCCCTACCATTTCCGTAGAGAGCTCGGATCCCAGCAAGTGGTTGGAGCTTTTGAAGCGGACTTCCCCATCACTCAAATCCATCTCAAAGTTTCCAATGGAGAGCCCATAGTTGACCCACGTGATGAATAGAGCTGCTTGGGTGCGCTTATCTTCTGGGACACTGGCAGGTGCCTTGATGTAAAAGTGGAATTTCTTGTCCGCCTCCTCGGTTGCAATGACCACACGACTCAATCCCACCTTGCAGTTCATTCCAAATACAATGGTTCGGCTGCGAGCGTTTTCTCCTGGTTCTTGGAGTTCATATTTGAGGCCCAGTTCATCCAGACCGGCCTTGGTGGTTCGGAGCATGGGTCCTTCGTCGCTGGTGGTGGTGGCGAGTTGTTCCACCAATCCACCCAAACCGGCAGCAGCAGGAGAAGATACTTCGTCGCCGCTGGCCTCTTGGGCGGCACGCATCACGGCGCCAGCGAGGAGCTGAGCCAGCTCACCCATTCCGCTCTCTTCTGTGGCCGCTTCTTCGGTGGGTGCTTCGGCGTCAACGGCCTCTTCCTCAGCTTTTTCCGCGGCATCTTCCTCGGTATTCTCGCCTACCTCTTCCTCGGTCTTTTCGGCAGAATCCTTTTCTTCCTCAGCGACAGAGTCGGAGTGTTGGGTGCTGGCCTCGGTGGTATCTTCCGTTCCTTCTGTCATCTTTTCGGGTTCCACGGCGACATCAGGGATCGAGATTTCAGAGGTGGGTGCTGGAGCTTCCATGATTATTGTTTTGTTGGTGTGATGTTCTTTCTGAGTTTCTGTTTTCCAATTCTGGTTAAAGAATTTTGTGAGAGCTACTGAGTATCTGGCCTCCAAATCCAATGCGAGCAATTCTGGAGCACGTTTAATGGAAGCGACACGGCTGGGATGGTGGACACGTTACTCAGTCCTGCCTTTGAGAACAGAAGAACCACTTGACGACGATGGCCGAAATTGCATCTAGTGAGCCTTCGCGCGAAATTGGTGCGCATTCATTCCCTCCAGTCAGAATCCTCACAATTTTCTTTTCTTGGATCGATCGACTTGTGTTGAAGCTTTTCTTGGATCGATCGACTTGTGTTGAAGCAGTCAACTTGTGTTGAAGCAGTTGCCGATCAATCCAAGAAAAGAGAACGCTAGCATACAGTAGTAGACGTTTTGTTTGAAAGGACAGACAGAGAATTGCCATTGTCGCTGTTGAAAAAGAAGAAGCAGAAGAAACGTCTTGCTGTTTTGGGTTTACAAACGTCTTGCTGTTTTGGGTTTACCCAGTTCCCCAATTGTTTTCCGGAACTTGGGGAAAACACGTTTTGGTTTTACCCTACTTCCCACCCCAGGGAGTTGAGGTATTTTGAAACAAACAGCAAAGCTGGCATTTTGAAGCCCGCCCCAGTACAGCTCTTATCCACCTCGCCACACATCCCATCAAGTTCACTGCACCCAAATCTTTCAAGCAAGGCCAGCGAGCAACCGCAAGACAGCCGCAACCTATCGGGAACCTACTCATGAGCAGCTGAAGCCCCTGTTCAGCTCCCACGGTGGTTCCAAGTTTGTGACTTTCCCTTGCGGCGTCTGCGTTTGACAACAGGCCAGGCCGCTGCGAAAGCACTCGCAAAAAATTTTTTTCTTCACCTTTGCAAATCATGGCTGATCTTGATGATAGAAAACCCGCAGCTGTTACTGTGGACGCAGTGGATGCAGCAGCAGACCAAGACTCATCTGAAGATGAAGCTCCTCCAGCTCTAGCCTCTGCTGTTCAAACAGTTGGCACCACCACACCAGCAGCATCGTTAGAGCAGCACACCACAACAGTGGAACCCACAGCCCAAGCCAAACAAGCCCCAACAGTCACATTTGCAGCGCCAAATACACCAGCTGCTTCCACTCCCAGGTACTTTGCCTCAACATCCCAGACAGGACAAATTGCTCAATGGTGCTCCAGTGATGCCTTCATCTATGAGCATGACAATCAAGCTGCCCTCAATGAACGAGCTATGATTATTGACATGCTCAATGCAACTCATCTTTTGCAACAAGAGAATCGAGATCTACTTGTTTTAGCCAACAAGGGCTACACCAATGTTCCACCTGACCCTTGCTACTTTCTGGCAAGACTTAATGGTGGTCAACTTGTCATTTTCTATGGATTTCAGCAGTGCAACCAGCTTGGATCGGCATGGCAGTCCAAAACTGTTGTCTTTGTTGGTGACCCATCTGCACCCAATGTTGCCCCCCTGGTTTGGGTTCCCAAACGCTTAGCTGACTTTGCTCACGGCAATCTCACAGTGTCAGCACTGACTACCATCACCAATGTTACGCGTGCCACCAGGAATGGACCCACCAGTCAACGTGAGCTTCCAGTCAAGCTTGCAACATCCAGAGCAGCACGAGAGCATCCAATAGTAACTATGGTCAAGATTCCCCCCCTCCTCCTGGCTCAAGCATTTGCAGCTGGAGATCCCAGCAGAGTCCATTGAATTTTATGCTACCAATCCTCAACTTTGTTCAAAAGTGGACAGCTCAGGCAAATGCGTTACCAGAACAGGGATACAAGCGTGATAAGATGTTGACATGTTTGAAAAACAGTTTGTTGACAATGGTCACTCAGAATACGGCCATGCGAGGTACAGTGCAAGAATCCGTGGGTGTGATGCAGCAATGTTGGAGCTGTCCAAGGATTCCCTGTATTTCCAGCCACCTGATGTACACAGCACAAATTGGGCCATTGCCAACTGGAATCGCCTAGCTCCACAACAGCAACCTTCAGGAGTGCAGCAGCCTCCACAGGTTCAACCTTTCCAGCAGGCAGCAGCCTGCAGCAGGAGTGAAACAGCCTCCACCAGTCCCACCATTTGCAGCAATGCAACAGCCTGCAGCCGGAGTGCAGCAGCCTCCACAGGTTCAACCTTTCACAGCAGTGCAGCAGCCTGCAGCAGGAGTGCAGCAGCCTCCACCACAGGACCAACCATTCACAGCAGTGCAGCAGCCTGTAGCAGGAGTGCAGCAGCCTCCACCACAGGACCAACCATTCGCAGCAATGCAGCAGCCTGCAGCAGGAGTGCAGCAGCCTCCTCATTTCCCCCCACTTGCAGCAGTGCAGCAGACTGCAACAGGGGAGTGCAGCGGCCTTCATCAGTCCCACCATTGGAGCAGTGCAGCAGCCTGCACCAGGAGGGCAGCAGCTTGCAAACGCAGTACAGCAACCTGCACCGGCAGCGCAACAGCCGCAGCAGCACAGCAGCCTCAACCAGTTCCACCATTTGCAGGAATGCAGCAACCTTCAGGAGGCCAGCCACACTCCTTCCACCAACCACCTGGACTCCAGTACCCATTTGCGGCTCCACCTCCAACTACTTTTGGATCACCAGCTGCTGCAGCTGCAGGTCCCAGTGTGTGGGGAACATATGCTCCGCCCCCCCCAGGCCCCCCAGCTGGACCAGCCCCAGATCCCAGTGTGTGGGGACCACGTCCTCCTGCTCCCCCAGGTCCTCCTGTTGCACCAACTTGGTGGCCTCTGCAACCAGCTTATGGTCCTGGGTTTCCCCCAGGAGCGCCTTTACAGGAAACGCCGGGGGCTTCCAAAGACACTGCCATGTATACCATTATCATGCCAACTTTGTGTGCTCTTATGGGCTTCACTTTCATTCCAGCTGACCCTGTCCAACAGGGCATGCCTAGTTTTCTCCCCCAACTGGCACAAGCATCAGCAAAGGGTCCTGGTCTGATGGCACTGTTCCGCAATGGTATCCAAAGTCTCACCAGCTCGCCGGACAACAACACCTTTTTCCAGGGTTTCAATGTCTCTCCCACCTTGCACAAAGAACTCCAAAGCTTTCAATACAGCATTGACGACCCTCAAACAGACTGGCACAAAGGGTTGGGCCCAGGTGTGGCCATGAGCCGCGATCGTCAAGCTGTCCTGGATCGCAAACGTCTTTACGAGCAAATTAACACGTTTGGTGGTATGGGAATCACAATGGGCCGTCTCGGGGACACCAAATTGGAAACACCCACTCCTTCCCTGCCCCGCACATATCAAGAGTTTCTGTTTTTCCTAACCCGGTATGGAAAAATTCTCTTGACTTGGCTCACACCAAACTGTGCTCTTTATCGTCTGGTGGCAGCACTTTCTACAGAAGTGCTTAATTACAATCGGCACGCAACATATCCTGACCACTGGTACTGGGAAAATGGCCCTTTCATTCTTTGGAAACTTGTGCTGGAAGCCAAAAACTTCTTTGACCAAAGTCGCAGTCATGAAACATTCTTATTGTTGGGTCCAATTCGTTTTGCAACAGAGCCTCATCTGGCAGCTAGAGATCTTATCCGAGATGCAAAAACTGGCCTTTCTCAAACTGAACTCCCTGGACCATTTCAGCAACTATTGAATTACAGTGTCCCAAGTCGCCCAACACCACCCGTGCATTTCAATCCTGGAGGACAGATGGCACCCCCGGTGCAGCCGTCCCCAGCAAGGCAGGCACCACCAGCGCAAGCTTCTGGCCCCCCTTCTCCACAACTCCTTCCAATCGACAGTCAGGGGTACGAAATGGAACTCCACCAACCACCAGCAGACGCAATCCCCATGCAGCTCAGGTTTTAGTCTCGTGGTTTGCAAATCTCTCTCAAGATCCGACTGTTCCGCCTTTCCATCGTACCACCCGGAGGATTCACACAGCCATGGGTCAAACTGTAGAACAATCTCTGCAAGCATTGGGCCTTGAGGCTAATCAGTGTCTCAATTTCCACTTGCGAGGTAGCTGCCAATCTCAGCGCTGCCGCAAAAGGCACGATGGAACCCCACTTGCTCAGGCAGCAGTCACCCAAATGGAAGCCAGACTCAACGCCGCCCTTCCGAACCTTCGCAACTGAACCCGCTTGTTGGAGCCCACTACAACCACTCATCAGCATCCTACCCACTTCACCACACAATCACCACCGGAAACAACAGTTGACATTTCAATGCCACCGGCCAAGCGAGTCCGGTACAACACACAAACTCCATCCACTGCCCTCACGCCACCACCACCACCACCTATCCCCACTGGCCACCACAGAGTTTCCACCAACACCTCTGCATTTTCCCCCACTGCAACTTCCAAAGCTTCAGTCCCCCAACGAGCAGCCGCCAAGCAACTACAGGCTCTTCACCGCTTGCATAAACAGGCCAATCACATCCAATCACAGCTACCTCCCGGTCCTCCTACCTCTCACAGCACTTTACAGCCCCAACATCAGACCCATCTCACTCCACCACTCACTCACATTACCAGAGCTAGCTTGACACCCCCCTCAAACCAACCATGCTCTGCTCAGCATCAACCACCAGCTTCTCATACTTCAGTCCAAGATGGAGTGCCTATTGTCCATGCTACATTCACAGGACCATCTTTCCCCTCTTCCACCTTGGTGCCTCCTTCGACCACAGCCCCATCCCATTTCAACAACACCGCTGCCTCCGCCACACCCATCAATCTCCCCCCAGACGGCCTAAATACAGCACAAAGTAAGTACCAGCGCGTTCAAAAACGTAAATTAATGAACACCTCTGGCCCTGCCCTTCAGCACCCGGCTGCTTCCCTCTTGCAGGAGTATGCTGATCAGGGTTGCCCTGCTCCGGTTCAAGATCCTTTCACCTTGGATGCCTTGGAAGCTGCTATCAAACGAGGAGCCCATACATCTGCCCAAGCACCTGAAGCCGCCGCAGCGTTGAAAAAAGAGGTTACAGAAAAAGTTGCCCAAGGCTATGCGCGGCTTATTCCCTGGGATGAGCTCAAAAAGTCTTTACCACCCAACATTCGAATCAGTCCCATTGCAGCGATACCACACAAGAGTCGAGCATTCCGTATGATTCTGGATCTGAGTTATATGTTCACTCTTGATGGGATCCCTTGGTCGTCAGTCAACACAGCATCCACTCCTTCAGATCCACCACTTCAATCCATGACACAGTTGGGCCAAGTCCTTCCACGTTTGATTCATCGCATGGCTACTAGCTCTGAAGACGAGGGGCCCTGGGTCTTCATGAAACTGGATATTAAAGACGGGTTTTGGCGTATGATGGTCCCTGAGCAGTATGAGTACAACTTTTGCTATGTGCTCCCTCAGGACAATCCAACCGACCCCATCCAAATTGTTGTACCTAGTTCACTCCAAATGGGGTGGAAGTAGAGTCCACCGTACTTCTGTTCTGCCACTGAAACTGGGCGGGATGTGGCCCAAACATTAGTGAACGAACCAACTCTCCCCAAACACCCCTTCGAAAATATGACTATGGACATCGATGATGATCTCAAGCTTTACCAACTCCAACACCCCTCTCAATGGACAGAGGAGGAACTACCAGAGAGGCTCCAAAACTTGAACCGGCTCTTGGAAGTTTATGTTGATGACTTTGTGGCCGCTATTCAGTGCACAAACTCCCAGGCACTCCTGCACCATTCCCGAGCACTACTCCATGCCATCCATTCTATTTTCCCTGCTGCCCCAAATCCACACCAGGACCCGGACGACGAACCTGTCTCTTTGAAGAAGCTTCTTGAAGGAGAAGGCATTTGGGCGTTTCGCAAGGAGATTTTGGGCTGGATTTTTGATGGCATTGCCCGCACTATTGAGCTCCCACCTGCGATAACTTTTAGGAGCGAGAGCTCTGGATTCCTCTGGGATAGCTCCAACAGCTATGCTGGCCTACAACTCCAGCATGCGCAGTTGGCTTATCTCCCAGCAAAGCAGCAAGAAAGATCGCTTCACCATAGTTAGAAAATAGTACGAAAGATTGAGACCGATCCTGATTAGCTTGTTAGCCCCTTTGATACCGCAGACAGTTGATACCAATCCCTGTTGAGCCGGGCCAGAAGCAGTAAGATAAGTTAGCAGATAGTAACTGTTTCCAGACTGCCACTCACGATTGAATAACGAAAGGCCCCCAGCCCTGAGGTGACTGGCCCCAAAAGGGTCCCACAGAGAGCTCTAGCTGGCCCTCCTAGTCTGAAGACAGGGACCAAGTCCTTTGATTTGGTGCCTACTGGAGGTTGTTTGAACACTCCTGAGGCAGAAAGGCTCCCTGAACTGCCTGACTACCGCTGTCCCTGAGGAAGGTTTCAGCGAGACCCAGTCACTACTCTGAGTTCTGGAACTGAACCCTTCAAAGAAACTTATGGATTAACAGTCAGCAATAGAATCAGTGCAGTTTTAAGGGAATTAAGGATGAGTCCCAGGTCGACAAAGGAGCTCCCACATCAGACAAATCAGTGCTAGCTACAGTAGAGTGGATTCATTGGATTTCATGAATTTTCAAGGCCCATCTTAAGTCTAGTCCAACAACCTTTGTCAAGTGATAGTACTTCCAAGTGACGACTATCATGACAGTTTCTAACAACTTATGCACATCCACACAAGCACCGTGCGAGAGGACCATACTCCAACACCTTCCCTCGACGCCAATGTGCCGACAGACCAGCTTGAAGGCTGAGGACGAGGAAAAAGCAACCAATTCCACTGGAAAAAGGAAGCGGATACAAGTACCGTGAGGAACACCTGGATCAAACGAGTTCTGCAGAAAAAAACTTATTTGAATTCTAAAACAGCCCGCTTGGCAACATGGAAGCAGCACACCGCTGTTTTATTTTTTTACGTGTACCGTGTATAGTCCTTTGTGTACGAGGCTTATCGCTCTAAAGTCACTTGATCGATTCACGAAGAACGTCTTGATTTATTGTTGATTTCGAAGGCCCTTTATCCATCCGTGCGCAGTTTCTCGAGTGTACGAGTTTCCGTCCTGTACAGCTTTTTTTTTAAAAGCGAACACACGGAACGTGGCTAAGAGATTCCGTACTTCTCCGGAAGCCGTCAGCCAATCAAAACGTCTGTGCAGTTTTCGAGTACTTTATTTTACACCGATGCACTGAGTCAGTCAGTCGCGGAACGATCAAGGTTTCTTTTCGATCCTGGTACTCCGAAGACTTATCGTGCAAGTTCCCCGTACTTTGCCGAAAGCAAGCTCAGCCTCGTAACCTGTTTGCGCTACATTTTAAAGGTTTTACGTGGTTGAGTCATTGAAATCGGCGGAAATCGGATCCTACTGATCAACCCCAACCACGAAATAGAACGTCAAGACTCTCGAAGCACTCCAGAAGGTCAAATTTCTGGCGAAGTCATGGACGACCTAATTGGATCAATGCTGTAAAAAAGTCTCACCTGTATTTAGGAGCTTTTGTTCGCGGAATTCACTGTTGATCCAGTACTATTTCTAGTGAGCCAATCCTCTCCACAAACTTAAGGTTTCCAGACTCAAACACATCAAAAGAGTTACAACCTCTACTATGGACCTTAATGAATTGTATTCAAACCCAGTAAACAAGCCTCAGATGAGAATTCCTCTTCAACAACCAACCCAAGGGCACCACAGAGAAAGAAGTTCCAGCCCACTGCTACCTAACAGTAGCCCATACCAAAGCCCTTGTGTTTTCCCTCCTTTTTCTTTTCCTTTCCTTTTTTTCTTTTTCAAGCTTACAGGTTTTGCAGCCAGCTTTATTCCACTGCAGCTAAGAGCTGAAAACCAGTGTCTTCCACCGGTACATGCAGTTACACCTCTTCCTTTGTCAGTAACAAGAGCGCACCATGTCCTCTACGTGTCATCAGCCGATTGTGAGTGACCCCTTAATGCCCCTGGATCTACTTTACTCCGAACGTGTGGTGGCATCGCATAAACGTCTACTCTGGTCCCCAACAAGTCCAAGGTAGCTACACCGCTGTGACCGTCCCCACACAACCACGATGGAGCTGGCAACAAGCCACCTAGCCTACTGCCAACCGATCGGACACCAGACCACCAGTGTCCACCAGAAATGAATACAAATCGTCTTATGACATTCTGAGAAGAGGCCGGCAGCACCAATTGCCTATGGTAGGTAACAACCACCAAGCCTGGGTGATGGTGAGATTTCAGAGCTGAAGCCCCGCAATTGTCACCTCATATCTCTAATCTATACCCCAGCAATGGCAAGAACATGCTGATCCGCTTTCAACAGCAACAGGTCACGTTGCCCGGCAACTCGACCTCAGAGAGCTGACCACGAGTCCCTCATACGAAACCTGAGAGCTGATACATTGAATCATTCAAGCAAGACAATTGAAGAGCTGAACTATGAAACCTTCAAGCGAAAGATGAAAGCTCAGTTCATCGCCTGGAAGGACCAACTGCAACACAACTGGAAGCATTGGTCATGGTAGCTGCTAAGCCACCTGTCACAGCACACCGCTTTGACAACCATCAGTTCATGGGGAGGCCAATGCCACTCCACTGTCAGCCATGGGCATGCTGAAGGCGTCCACAAGTCGACTTGTGATAGCGCTATTGGTACCAACGGCTCCACAGCCCAAAGAAGCAGCGCAGCGCCACAGGCTACTCGTTCCAAGCAAGATGCCACTGCCATACCAGCAAGGACTGGATGCCATTGCCACCCAGCAACGATTGACCAATGCCCCTTGTGCACCAACCAGCTCCCACACCAAGTAGCCACGGACTCATCTCCCAAGCTAGCGTTGTGGGGATTTGCCTGTCACACGTACCCCTGCGTGTCCCAGCTACAGGCCACCAGCTGCCCATGCCCACACCTTAATGCCCTCTCGCTGGTGCCCATCCATCGTTTGGATGATGGGGAGATACGAGCTTGCCAGCCCAGCATCATCCAACCTCTGGGAAGATCATGATGGCAAAACCTCCAGCCAGGTAATGCACCGAGCTTCGCAGGCTTCGGTGCTAACAACTTCCAGTGACGACCAAAGTAGACCAGAGTGTGGCCCACCAATCAGCTCTACCAAGAACATGAGCGACCACACAGTGGGACCCCAAAGCACCGTGCTCCATGGCACAGAGCACACAAGGGTCCCACACACAACAGCTTGGCAGAGAACCTAGCTGGTTCGAATACCACAGTGACACCCAAGTCCAGTCTGGTTCCCACGGAACCACATAACTATGGCCGCCAAAGCACAAGGACTCGTACCCAATGACGGTGCGTGTCTTTGATAGGAACCAGCCTTGGTCAACCATCACCAGGTCCATTTAGCCGAGGCCCAAAAGCAGATACCCTCTGTCCTCTTGGGAAATCGCATGGGGAAATCAAATACCACCCAGCCAAAAGCCAATGCCAGAGCAGCTGGTGCACCTACCCGACAAGCGACTGCCATTGGTGTCTCCCGTCCCAGGACTACTGACACGGTGCTTCCTACCCCGAGGGGCTGCCATGGCCACAGTCATGGCAATGACCAATCCGGTGACGCGTGGGATTTTCCCTAGGCGATCGATTCATGTTCCTGAACGACGAGCCCAAAGCCTATAGTCAAGGAACATGTCCGCGGGGACAAGAAGGCCGCTACACTGAGAGCTTGCCGCCGCATGAATTGCCTGTGGCAAGGACCACGACATAGTTGTTCCATATGAAGAAACAACAACAGCTGATGATAGCAACCGCACCGCCACACCTACCGAGTCTGGCTATGCTGATCAAGCACGCATCCATTTGCGCCTACCTTGGTCCAGCAACCGACCAACCATGCAAGTCCCTCCACATTGGGATTCCATCTCCATTGTTTCCACTAGCAGTCGATGCTGAGTGGCCCATGGTGTTCCATTCATGGGGAGAGTTTGTAGATAGTTAGTTAGTAACTTGTCGTATATCGTGGCATTCCATGAGAGCGGATCAGACGCACTCGTGGGGGCGAAAACTTTTAGGAGCGAGAGCTCTGGATTCCTCGTCGGATACTCCAACAGCTATGCTGGCCTACAATCCAGCAGCGCATGGCTTATCTCCCAGCAAAGCAGCAAGAAAGGATCGTCCTTTCTACCATAGTTAAGAAAATAGTACGAAAGATTGAGACCGATCTGATTAGCTTGTAGCCCCTTTGATACCGCAGCAGTTGATACACAATCCTGTTGAGGCCGGGCAAGCAGTAGAGGTAGCAGATAGTACTGTTCCCAGACTGCCACTGCACGATTGAATAACGAAGGCCCCCAGCTCCTGAGGTGAGCTGGCCCAAAAGGGTCCAGCAGAGAGCTCTGCTGGCCCTCCTGTCTGACTGACAGGACCAAGTCCTTGGTTTGGTGCCTACTGGAGGTGTTGGAACACTCTTGAGGCACGACAAGGCTCCCTGAACTGCCTGACTACCGCTGTCCCTGAGGAAGGGTTTCAGCGAGACCCAGTCCACTAGTACTTGAGTATTGGAACTGATCCTTTCAAGAAACTTATTGACCTGGAAAGCTCGACAAGATTAGGGCAGCTGTCAAGCAGGTTCTTCACACAAAGCACAGCAAACTCTCTAATCTACAGTCACTGGTTGGAAAACTCCAACACGCCTGTTTGGCAATTCCAAATGGGCGTGGATTGCTTGCTCCAGTGTACAAGCTCCTCCCAGCAACCCATTCCAAAAAACACCACCAGCGTCGACATGTTTCCATCCCCAGGAATCCGAGGCTTACAAAGCCTTGCAAGATCTACGAACTATGCTCAAGATTGTTGCAAATCGGCCAACGAAATGTGCCCAGCTAGTCCCTGGTTGGCCACACTTCATTGGGTTCTGCGACGCTTGCAAGCATGGGGCAGGAGGAGTTTGGTTAAGTGGCAGCGACAACCTGCACCCAACAGTGTGGAGGGTCAAATGGCCCCCCGAAATTGTTGCTCTGGTTGAAGCCAACAAACTCTCTGTGAATGATCTCGAAATGGCAGGACTTCTCTTGCACTACTTAGTGCTCGAGCAGCTTGTGCCCACGCTCGAGCACAAACACTGCGCCGCATGGTGTGACAACACGTCTACTGTGTCGTGGGCCAAACGACTATCTTCCAGCAAATCTCTTGTGGGACAACGACTGGTTCGAGCACTTTGCATCCGACATGCTGTGACTAAAAGCTCTCCCCTGGCACCCTGGTCGATTGCTGGAGCAAACAACAAGATGGCAGACTTGGCCAGCAGGTCGTTCAAGAAAGGCGGGGCTGGAAACTTTGAGCTGTCCAATAAAGATTTTCTTACCTTTTTCAATGCCAAATTCCCCCTTTCTCAGGACGCCTCTTGGCGAATGCACCATCCGAGCACCAAGGTGTGCTCATTGGTCTTCTTAGAGATGCAAGCGCAGCGACCCCATGCGACTGCCCAGCAACGCCACAAATTCTGGGGTGAGTGGTGCAAACTCCTCCAAAAGTTTGGCCTTGCCGACCCTTTCCTCCGAGGAACCAGCCAATCTGAGCAACTCGCACTCTCCCAAGCCTTTGCCCATTGGGTTCGGTGTGGAAATGTCGGACGACAAAATCGCGTCGGCACTCAACGCGTACAACAAGCGTTGGCAGCCGTCGGAAAGACCTTCCAACTGGCTGTTGAACCCTCTCCCACGTACGTCGACCAAAGCAGAGCAACATATTGGCCCGCCCTCCAACAGCAAATAGAATCATATCGACGAGAGGACCCCCCTCCCCAGCCTAAACTGGCTGTGCCAGTTACAGTTCCCCACACACTTGTGCGGGAAGGCCTCAGAACTTTCAGCCCCAAACTACGTGCTCTTGGTGATCTTACCAACATTGCATTCTATTACTTGCTAAGAGTCGGGGAATACACCTACAGCCCCCCCAAGCAACGAACCAGAACTCAGAGATTTCGTATTAAAGATGTCATTTTCCGCAGGGCAAACCAATCAATCATCCCCAACACTGCCCCTCTCCAGGAATTGCTCACTGCTACACATGCCACATTGCGCATTTCCAATCAGAAAAATGGAAAAAGGGGTCAGTGCATTCATCACCACTGTACTGGAACCATCACAAGCCCAGTCAAAGCCTTAGCACGTCGAGTTTCACACATTATGGCCCACACAAACAACCCAAATACTGCACTCAGCACCTATTTTGAACTTGGTCAACCAAAGCAAATCCGACCACAAGACATCAACAACATCATCAAAAACACTGTCATTAAACTTGGCCTCCAACAGGCGGGTTTCACTCGAACCAACGTTAGCAGTCACTCCCATCGCGCGGGTGGAGCAATGGCTACGAAGCCCAATGGAATTGACCCAATCACCATCAAAAAACATGGCCGTTGGTCCTCCAACACATTCCTACAATACATCCACGAACAGATTGGATTCCTCACCATTGGAGTTGCAACCCGAATGTCACGTTACATCCCATTCACCAATGTAGCCCACGTTCCATGCTGCCCCCACCTTTCTGAGCCCATTGACGAAATTACACACACCCCCCACTAAACTAAACACATTTCACTCCAATCATTTCGGTGTTACAGTAGCATTAGCATTGCTACTTCCTTCACCTTCATTGTACAACCTTTCAGAAACTTGAACAGTCTCCGGACCTTCCATGGCACGGACCGTCTGGAGCTGTCCATCACTTTCACCATCACACCACAAATGGACCAACACATATGGAGATTCCATGCACTAAGTGTGTGGCATACACCAGCCATAACAATAGTAAGCTGCTTCATATGCCCAAACTTAGTATGCACTCTACTGACTAGTCCCTTTGAAGAGTGATAGTGCAAGTCTCTGAAAGCCATCTTGCCCACAAGTCAATCCATTCAGAAACAAGAATGCGGGAAGGCATCACAGTCTACATGTGGGGACAGAGTCTAGGACCGAGCCACATGTAGGCGGTATCAGCGGTGGTATTGACACCGACGAAACACCTCCAACACGTTCGTTTGCTTCAAGGCTTGGACGACCCATGGCAGATCGACGAAAGAGGGCCTCCGATGTAGAGATGACTTCCATCAACAAGAAAAGCAACCGACATGTAGAGCAGAGTCATACACTGTCTGCGTGGCAAGACGTTACCCAGATGACACCGGCAATGGGTACAGTATTGCCATCAACACTACGAGAAGAACGCTCTTCTTTTCCAGTATCGCCAGATATGGAACTCACCTTTCCGGGTGCCTTTGCTGTAGATGGAATTTCAGACAATCGGGATGCCATAATTGAAGAGGCTGTGGATCAAGAACCCATTGATGCTCTTGTGACACAAATTCCAGAACATGAAAATATTGAGGATTCCAGCCTCTTGGAGAGTACTTGTACAGAGACAACAGTTCAAAACCAGAGATCCATTAAGTACTGGAGGCAAAGGTTGCTTTATGTCCTTTCATTGGAAGCCAATGTTGTTTTACTCTCAGTTGTTCTGGCACTGCTCCTATGTATGGCAGTTTCGTTTGGAGGACATGACAACAGCGACACAAGTCAATCAACAGGCATCAAAGTTCCTTCAAGAACTCCAGGATTTGTAGCAATGCCAACAATGGCACCAGCAAATTTGCTGGATTCGCTCCATTTTCCTGATTACACACTGGAAGCTTTAGAAAACCCCACGAGTCCTCAGTCCAAGGCATATGAATGGCTGATCAACAACATCAACAATAAAAGCTCTACCCAAAACATTCTACCAAAATGGAGACTGAAGCAGAGGTTTGCTTTGGCCACATTCTACTACTCTACAAGAGGGGACTTTTGGGTGAAACATGGTGGATGGTTGAATTGGGAGACGAATGAATGCGACTGGGAACAAGTGATCTTGAATAAAAATGTCTCTCCTGATCTCTGCTGTAATGAGATGGGAGAAATCAAGGCACTGGTCTTTCACATCGCCAATAACATGGATGGAACTATTCCACCAGAGATATCTTTTCTTGGCAAGAGCTTGCAGCTTTTGAAGCTGAATCAGCAACAGCAACTTATGGGGTCTATTCCAACAGAGCTTGGAGAGCTGACACAATTATCTAAGCTGACATTGACAACAACAGGCATTTCTGGCACAATTCCAATAGAGCTGGGTCTTCTGACGAATCTTGGGCAACTCAAACTCAAACTCAAACTCAACAATTTATTGGGGTCTATTCCTTCTGAGCTTGGCAAATTGGGAAATATCACAAATTTCATGTTGCACGGGACACATCTTACAGGTTTGTGTTCAATATCTTGTCTCAGGAGTTTGCTTTTCGAAATGACATCTGACATTTGAGGCTCTGTTTTGCTTTTGACACCATCCAGGGTACCTCCCTACCGAATTCTACCAATTGTACAAGCTAGAAATCCTAGACGTGACCGAATGTTCTAGACTGAATATGGATTTTGTTCTTTCAGAAATTGCTGAGAATATTCAACAAGTGCAATCCATTACGCTCATCCAAAGAGCACGCGGAGACAAGATGCCACTTCCGTGTGCGTTGCAGCTCTTCGAGTTTGCGTCGAGTTAGTGTGTTTACTTGCTCTAACATTTGTCGATTGCTACCTTCAAACAGCCCATCTTGGCAATCTGACCAAGCTATCTGATCTGGCTTTGAACGATTGGAATATCTCGGGCACAATACCAAGCAACTTTGGGGATCTGACAGAGTTGGTGAGTAATGCAAGCCAATGACAGCACAATAAATACGCGCCTTGATTTGGACTCATGAGAGGAAGTGCACTTGTTTTTCTAAAGAATACACTGAACCTGGAAAATAATTCCATATCTGGAACTTTTCCACATGTGTTGTTGGAGTTGACCAGTGAGTCTTGAAACAGAGATCTTCCAGTGCGCTGTATTGTGTTTTGAGGACAACTCACTCCGTTTTTTAAAATTAAGATCCTTTCAGATATGGTTCATTTACATGTTGGTTCCAACAATCTAGAGGGCAAGCTCCCATTGAAACTCTTTTCACAGCTCACACAGTTGCGACACTTGTCCCTTGGGGACAATCAGTTCTCCGGCACAGTGCCAACCGAAGTCGGCCTACTGTCAAGCCTGATGAAGCTGGAAATACAGAATTCCAACCTTTCTGGCACACTTCCTACAGAACTGCTTCAGCCAATTGGAGAACTTGACAAGCTTTGTTGTGACAAACACATCCTTACGGGGTAGCATTCCTGAAACCCTGTGTGGCAGAATGTACCAGCAAATATCTGGGTTTTTTGGTGGAGGGAAGTTTCATCAAAAGAGTGAAATTCCAATATGCCAGGGAACTCTGCTCTGTGGATGTGATTGTGACCCATGTCCTGTAGACTAGACTAGACTAGACTACTAGACTAGACTAGCTAGACTAAATCTTCTGTCTGGGAGAGCAAAGGATACTTTTCCTTGGGGTCTGAAATGGAGAAGGGCTAACGCAATTCGCGATCACCGTAGCTGTCCCAGATACCATAAGCAAAACTCCACAAGAAGAACAACACAACACAACACAACAGCACCATCACAATCAGTTATAGACCTTCCTATAATTAGTTGAAATTGCCCTACAAAGAAATCACTGCATGAAGAAGATCAACTTCTTTCCCCGCCACTCAATCTGAGTTACGAAAAGTCATCGACTCCTCTACACAACGATTTGAAATCTCTCGAACCACCAGCAATCAACAGTGTACGGTAACTCCACTATCAAGACCAACGAGCGAAAGGGTGCAAGTTTGTGTTTGCTATTGAGTACAATAATAGCGATTCCAACGTCAGCCCGTGAGCAAATGTTCTTCGGCTGTCAATTCTTCGGCCGAGTCGAGTCGAGTCGAGTCAACAGAGCAAATCAATGAAGAATTCACCGTTTCTTCCACCATTTCTTTTGTTGCTGTTGTCGGTCAGGCCGCACGACGCCACCATCCGTAACACCATCTTGCGGTTCCATCGACACCGTTGTCGTCTTCGCCATCGCCGCCACCGAGATAGCAGGTGTCGTCTGTCGTTCGTGGAGAGGCACCAGCGGCAACGGTCCCTCTCCATCCAGCCGCAACCTCAGAGTCAACAGCAGTAGTAGTAGTAGTCGTTGTTGTCGTCAAACGTCGTCGTCGTCGTGCCATCCCATTGCCTTCCGACGCTCGAAGAAGACTCGGCTTCTCCCATCGTGGAGCGGCAGGCGAGATAACAGCGGCAACAGCAGCAACAGCGGCAACAGCAGCAACAGCTGCTCAACTGCATCCAAAAGGCTCATTTCAGAACTTCAAAGCTGTCTACTTCTACCCTTGCTTTGAGACCATTAGATATGCTTTGGACACCATTGTAGCGTGTCAAAAGTGGTTTCTATAGTATAGAGTACGATACGTATATTAGCTAGCTAGTGGTAGGGAGGGCAAGACGTCGCTGGCCGTCTCCCCATCACCATCATCTTGCAACCCCCTTATATATACCGGGCAGACCCCGGTGATCTCTGACCCCGTTTAATATACCGGGCAGACCCCGGTGATCTCTGACCCCGTTTATTGTGGTGGTGGTGGGTTTGGTTGGTTGGTTATCCTTAGGGTTCCACATTTTCAATGAAAGACAAAAAGCACCTGCTCAGTATCTGACTATGGTTGGTTTGTGTCTTACGTATTCTCCAAGAGGTGGAATCCTCAATATTTATGTCTGATTTGTGTTCGGGTTGCCTGAGCATCAACTTCTTGACCATAATAGCATCCATTGGTGAAATCCGTACGGCAAAGCCAGACCTGTCCAATCTGTGTACTGGAAAAGGAACGTATTCGTAGTGGTGATACTCTCCTTCGTCATCTGGGGAACATCTGAAGTAAATTGTTGACTTCATCTTCTCTGGGGTGGTTGTCTTGGTTATGATATATCTACTGATCTTTCGGATTATCTCTTCAGAATTCGTGCGTCTTCCAATTCAACACTGATGATGAGACATCATAGCAGGGCAGAGCAACAGTGCCCCGCTTGCCAGCAGCATTGAACTCCGCTCAATGCTATGGTCCGTTCTCAATCCTTGAATGTTTTCATTATGACCGCATGCACCTTGAAGTTAACCCTCGTATGTCAACGAACGTTCTGTGTTGAAGGTGTGCCAGTGTTTTATAGTGGGAGGGTGCAGGTGTTACAGTGTTTAATCGTTATCAGTACTAGTACCGCGAGAAGACTCAGCAGCTAGCACACCAATTCGGATCTTTGGTGAGGTCGGCTTTTACTGTGCAAAGCCACTGTAAAATATATCTCGTTGTGACGGAACGACACACAAGCACTGCCGTTGCAGAGTAAGCACGGAGGTGTATAGAATTACGGCGAGTGAATAGATGGGCGCATTATAAATATTTGCTGAGTGTTCATTAGATTTTTCCATCTGAGAAAGTAGCATGGTAGCTTACAAGGATTTAGAGGTGTGCAAATGGTTAGTTTTCTCTTGGATGTTGTTCACGGGTTGTAGTGGTGTTGAGTGCACGACGTGATTCTTCCGTTAGATGGTGGGTAGCTTACGGGGTTAGATGTGCAGATGACGAGTTATTGTCATTTTGAGAAGCATGTAGCCTTTACCAAGGTTGAGAGTGCAAGCTCACATTAGTTTTCCTGAGAGAATGGTTGTAGTTACGGGAGTTTATAGGTCTGCATACGAGTCATTAGTTTTTCATCTGAGCAAGCGGCGTGGTAGTTAGGAGTTTAGAGGTGGTGCATCTGAGGGATTTAGGGATCCGTTGTACCGTATGATTTATGAGAATCGCGTGGAACGAGGGGTGTTGAAGTAAAATCTCTACCCTAGTAAACAACCAACCCACCACACCCAAAGGAACTGGGGTGTTAGATATACCGGGCGAGCTGAATTAAAGATGGGCCGGCGCATACTATTTGTTAAGTTTGGCTGAAGGTAGTGTCATTAGATTTTTCCGTCTGAGACAGAGGCGTGGTATCTTACGGGAGTTTAGAGGTGGTCATCGTGAGACGGTTAGGTTTTTCCTTCTGGGAAAGTGGCGTGGGAGCTTAGGGGAGTTTAGAGGTGTGCATCGTGAGACGTTAGATTTTACATTTTAGAAAGTGGTGTGGTATCTTACGGGATTTTAGAGGTGTGAAACGTGAGACGTAAGATTTTTCCATCTGAGAAGGAGGCATTGTAGCTTACAAGAGTTTAGAGGTGCGCAACGTAGGTCATTAGATTTTCCGTCTGAAAAAGTGGCGTAGTAGCTTCACGGTAGTTTAGAGTTGTGCAACTTGAGACGTTGGATTTTTTCGTCTGAGAAAGTGGCGGTGTAGCTTACGGGAGTTTAGTGGTGTGCAAATGTGAGGAAAATATTAGGATCCGTTGCTACCGTATGATTATTATGAGAACGCGTGAGAACGAGGGGGTTGAATTAAATCTCT